TTTAAATTGTTTTTGAAATGGTGGCAATGTTTAAATTGATTTTAAATTGATTTTATCAGCACATAGCATGATTGATGTGAAATGGAATTAATTTCATTTTTATTGAGTAGAGCATGCCCACTTGAAATTTACTGAATTTCCCTGATGATTTGAGATTGATTGTGAATTACGGATTTTTTCAATAAATCCCGCATGGTTTTGTCTCGGATATAGTCATGATTACTAATTACTGTGCCCGTTAGTGGGAGGTTTATAAACGCTAGCACATGTCGACATGTTTACTGATAGGACTAGTCTATTTTGTAATCTTGCTGATGGGATAAAACATTGGTAACTACTGTGCTCACCAGTGGGAGGTTTATAAACGCTGGCCATGACTTATAGATGAGACTACTACTGAATTTTCTTCTGCATTAACGATTTATCAATGAATGTTTTGTTATATTAAACTGTTTATCAAGTATGCTTAAATTTTTACTTATTGGCTACCCATATTTTTACTTACTGAGATATTGTATCTTATAGTTTTTCCTTGTCCACCATTTCAGGTAGTGAGACCCGACGCATAGGGAGCCCTGAGGAGTGACGAGGTAGATGGCTAGGCATTATTTTGGACTTAGGTTTTTGTAGTTAGGTCACTAGTCACCCATGCTTGACTTAGAGATTTTGTGTATAGAACTCCCTTAGATATAGTCATGATTGTATAGATGAAGTTATAAATCCTTGTACATTTTGACTAGTAAATATTTAGAAAAAAAAAGGTTAAATTCTTAATTTGGTCCCTCAACTTTATGAAATGCACATTATTAATCCTTCAACAATTTTCTACACTTTTTTGATTCTTCAACTATACGAAATGCACTCCGTTAGTCCTTCTGTTAATTTGAGCCGTTAACCCTGCTTAGGTGGCATTTTTATATTTTTTTTATGATGTGGAAAGCAAAATTTAAAAAAGTGATAATATGTATAAAACTTTTGCCATGTCACATGTTACCTTGGTAAAAACGCGTCAAATCCATCTAAATGGGTCCCATATCACCACTAAGAATTGCTTCTTGCCCATTGGTTACTGTTTCTATTCTTTCCATAAACGATGTTCTTTCCATTTTCAAGATTGAAGTTCTCGACAGAACCCAGCAGATCTGGGTTCGATGTAACTCAGCAAATAGGTTACATCGAACCCAGCTC